TGTTAGACTTTTGTCGACCAGTGTAGAATGTGGTCAACGCTACGCTATCTTTAGTTCCAGAATATTTTCTGATACTAATTTAAGGCTCATTGTTTTCGTGTTTTATTATTGATTTCAGTTCCAAGGTTCCCCGTGTGGGTTCCGAGGCCCTGTTATATGGAAAACAAGAATAGACCCACTGCCTACCCAAAAGCATTTCGTAAGAGCCGACTAACTGGGAGGTTTCTTTAAAATCGGAGTGCATCTGCCTGAGATGCAAGGAACCAACAGCCTGCATATAAATTAGTCAGATCTGTCAAACGAATGCACAGAAAACAATCAGGTTATGGAACAGGACTGCAGTCCAAAAGTGGACGAACAACCGGAACTTTCCACCAGAGTTTACAGCTGGTGAACGCGAAAAAGAAGAAGTTCCAACGTTAATTTATCTGTAGGTAAATAAAAAGAAAAATACTGAAATTTAAAAAAAGAAGAGACAAATGAAATACGTTAGAAACATTAAAGGACATAGCACACCTTCAAAAACCATACTGGAAGGAAAGGTCGAAGGCAACAGAGCAAGAGATGGTCAATGATACAAGTGGGTGGACAACATCAAGAAACTGACTGGCAGCAGTCTGAGAGAGTGTAAAACCAGGCCAAGAGACAAAGCGTGTTGGGGATCCATTGCAGCCAACCTTCACTGTGGAGACGGCACCTGATTGATGAATCTGTAGTTGTGACGTAAAAAAGGATGACTGTTTTTGAACTAATACCAAGGAATAACAAAATTACAAAAAAAAGTTTAAGTATAAAGCTTAACGGAAAAAGGGTGAAAAAAAAGGGGGGGAGGGGAGAGGGGGCAGGCACAAAAGCAATCGAATGTTTGGATCAGTCTTCACCTACGGTTCAAAAAGTAAAAGCATATTAAATAAACGTCCGCAACGGTTTGTATTTTTTTTTTAAAAAAGGTACACAATGAAATAGAAGAACAATTTAACAGCAGAAGCTATTTTGAGGCAAAGCGTATAAGAAATGTAAAAAATGTTTTGAGAATAGTGAAAGAAAAAATAAACACTAATCTATGCAAAGGAAGTAGAAAATGCGCACTTCTTCACCGGCAGGTGGCTGGTTTGATTCTCAGAGTAAGATTTTATGGCAGTAAAGGGATAGATAATCTCGCATTGGTGGTAAAAACTACACATGCAATGAGCTTGGAGTTACGGATGTTTGCAAGTCGTTGTACAAAAAAGTTAGGCTTACTTTCTACCTATTTTTCCCCACATATAAATGTGTTTTTGTATTTGTTGCAGACGATTTCACAAAATATGTTACGAGATTCACAAATGCTTTCTTGTTTGTTTGTTTTAGTATCCAGAAGCCATGAGTTGTTAACCCTTAGGCTCGGTATCATGAATATCGCAACCTTTCGGCCTTGATTCCATTGTAAATGCCCTAATTCTGGGAGAAAATGTGGCCTTTCTGCCTATCCCCGTGAGTGAACCCGGACCACAAGGACTTCGTCACCCGCTCATCGCGTAATCCGGTTTAGCCAACTACGCTAGAGAGACGGGCAAATGCTTTCTCAAATTTAAATAAACTTCTTAAAGCGTACAGATGCGGCGTCCATGGCTTTGGCGTTGTAATCACTGAAGATCCACCTACTAGGCGAATCCAAATCGGGATGTCGAGATGACAATGGACGTGTTTCAAAGCTGTCAAATTGTTAACATAGAGTCTCCTATTGGTTCTTGTGTACCATTTAAGAAAAAGGTGAAAAAAGGGGTAAGGCAGGGGGGGGGGGGGGGGGGGGGGAGGTGATTACGTGCTTCCTTACAGGCTTGTTGTAAAAACCGATTATACAAGGTTTTATTAAATCGAATGTGTTGGGCCGAAAGGCGGCGATGTCGCAGCCTAGATGTAAAACAACGCGTCAGCGGCTTTGTTAAGGGCGAACACAGAGGAAAAAGTTAACTGAAGAGCTGGGATCTGTTTCCGCCTACAAAGTGTGGGATTTGATTGGGCGAGTAACTGCTCTCTGTGTGTGATGGGTGGTACTTGTCTAAGATTCACTTGTAGTTCATGCGGAAAAGATGCAGAAATCGAGAACTCATTTATTTGGTTTAAAAAATCAGAATCACTAGTGCACAGCCTGTGTAGTCTAAGAACACGAAGTTGGGAGACCAGTACTGAATTTTTGACAGGACATTAGATGGGAAGAAGTGAACAGAATAAAGCTATGAGAACCGAAAGATTTATATAGGCAGTCGTAAGTAAGACCAAGGCAAAAGGAAATTGATGGTATCTTGACGTCCATACAATTCACAGAAGTAGCATAAAACAGAGAAGTGCATTGAACTGCACGATTAAAGTTACCAATCAAATCGAAGCATTCGCCAAGTTCATGCACGGGCTGTGATATTAACGTCATCACCAGTAAACGCTAGATACACTTCAGGTGACTTGCCATCGCGTGCTGGCCAAACTTTGTGTTTGAGGCAAGCCATGAAGGGGTATATGTAGCCGGGACCGATTTTGGTGACCATCGACACGCCACTGGTTGTTAAGTTTAAAAATCCTGCTCACTGTTAAAAATAAGTACTAGACCTGAAAATGTTACACCTTGCCGAACTTGTGCTCACCTTTATAGTTGCTGCTGCTGCTTCTACTACTACTACTACTACTACTACTACTACTACTACTACTACTATTGCTACTACTACTACTACTACTACTACTACTACTACTACTACTACTACTACTACTACTACTACTACTACTACTTCTGCTTCTACTACTGCTACTACTACTTCTACTACTACTACTACTACTTCTACTACTACTACTACTAATACTACTACTACTACTATTTCTACTACTACTACTACTACTACTTCTACTACTACTACTACTACTACTACTACTACTACTACTACTACTACTACTACTACTACTAATACTACTACTACTACTACTTCTACTACTACTACTACTACTTCTACTACTACTACTACTACTACTACTACTACTACTACTACTACTACTACTACTACTACTACTACTACTACTACTACCACTACTACTACTACTTCTACTACTACTACTACTTCTACTACTACTACTACTACTACTACTACTACTACTACTACTACTACTACTTCTACTACTACTACTACTACTTCTACTACTACTACTACTACTATACTACTACTACTACTACTACTACTACTTCTACTTCTACTACTACTACTACTACTACTACTACTACTACTACTACTACTACTACTACTTCTACTACTACTACTACTACTACTAGCACTACCACCATCACCATCACTAATTCTGACTGCTTCTACAGCTGCTACTGGCACTACTGCTACTCTTGCTGCCACGAATGCTACAACACCCACTTAAAAACTGCAGTAATCTACAAACATTTTACTACTACTACCAGCATTACAATTACAATTACTGTTGCTACAATAACTCTTGCACTTTAGTCGTTTGTTTTGCGAATCTTGTACAGCTGATACCATTTCGCAGGCATCTATTTTCCCAGCCACAGATCATGCGACATCTCTTTGTGATAGCGATATCTCTACAATGTTGTGCGTCCTCCAAACCAAAGCCCCGGCTGAAGCACACGACACCAGCATACCCTCATTTTGATATCATCAAAGAAATTGTCACACTGAAGCAAATGGTGGCCGACCTCAGCAGGCAAGTGATGATGCAGCAGTTTATTTCGGAAGAAAAGTGAGTCCTGGTCTATTATGATTTGATTAATTTGATTGATTTTATTCAAGAACCGACATCACAGCACTCAGTGCATTCCCATATGCACTCCGTCCCCCATCTTCAGCAGCCAGCGAAGAGTTACAATACTAATGGTGCCAGTAGCATTCTGATTAAACATCCGTTTTGCCTTTTCTCTAAGCCTCGAGCATCTGCCAGAATCTTTCTTCACTCCCTCCTGCATCCATCTCGCTAGACTGCGGTGATCTGGCTGACTACTGAGTTTCTACCCCACCAGGACATCACACAAGCGATAAACACCCGATTGCACAAGTGCCGCCATGTGGATGAGGATCACCGTGGAGAGGTCCAAGAAACCGCGTTCAGCCATTAGGCCACATTTACGGCCTGGCTATGCACGGCTCTCTAGCGTAGTTGGCTAAACCGAATTGCGCGGTGACCGGGTGACGAACTCCTTGTGGTCCGGGCTCACTTCCGAGGGTAGGCAGAAAAGCCACATTTATCCCAGATTTACGTATTTACAATGGAATCAAGGCCGAAAGGTTGCAATATCCATAATACC